CGCTTCGTTTGTGGTGCCTTCGGCCACAGATCCTTCTACTGTCCTAGGCGAGGGAAGCAAGGTAACCAAGTAATCCTCTTTCTTGTGCTTCAGCCCTATGAGGATATGGTGAGAAACGTGGAACATTTGAGAAAATGTGCTGTGTCATTGAGGGGAAGAGCTTTTCTTTCGAAGGCATCTTTCTGAAGGAAGAGTGTCCCCTCCATTCGGATACAGTTTCTGATTGTTAGCTAGAATATATGGGTGTATTGTCATTCAAGTTCTATAGATGGTGTCTGTGTCACTATCTGTTTGAGTGCGTGAAGGCCCCTGGAGGAGTCGTTCTGTGAGTTGTATTCAAGCTCGCCCTTAGACCGAGTCAAGTTAGCGATAAGAGTCAGCTACTTTGGCCTTGTCATTCGCTTTGTTGCCATATAGATAGGTTGGAGTGCGGGTGGCCACTAACCCAACGAACGAACTTACGTGTAGGTGTGATCCTATCTGCTATTCCTCTATAGGACTAGAAATCCAGTACAACCATGTCCCTTTCTTAGGGGAAAAGCCCTCTTTGAAGGAGAATCCACTTCTAAGCGCCAAAGGCGGGCATCCGACGTCACCAAAAAGAAGGAGAAAGGCATTCAGGCACTGCAAATCCAAGAAACTCCAAATACAGGCCGGCACGAAAAGCGAAATGACCAAAGGGATTGGGGATGTTTCGGCACCAAAAAAAGTGTCACTATGCTAAACACATCGAATATCCATCTCTTTATGTGGGAGCGAACCATCTTCGCTTACGGGTCTACCGATCCTATAGCTCCGATATAGATTTAAGTAACTTGGCAGAAAAAAATGCGGAAAAACAGTTTTGGATGGAAGAGGTAGATGAGAAAGACTTTCCACTTAGAGTCAGAAGTCCATGCTAGATGACCGATCTTTATGACCTTGAGGAAAATTACCTATCTGGAATTAATACACCAAAATCGGTTATTTCAATCGATCCACGAAAGGAATTGATCACCACGATAATGTGACGCAAGGCAAAATCTGTAATCAACATCGGTTATGTAAAATAGGTCATTTGAGAAAAAAAAGATAGGTATCTCTCAGTAAGAAATAGTAGTAGTAGTCAAAAAGTGCACTTTTTCCATATATTTCGATTTATAGGGATCCCTATCTTTATCTCTATCCACAGAGATACCTATCTATATAGAGAGAGATTTTTCTCAAAATTGATCTAGACTATCCTCTATCCGGATAGATATGTCCCTATGAGCGACTAGGCCGATCTTTTTTTATATGTTTTGGCCACATCCGTTTCCACTCTGAAGAGGAAGGTTTGGATCTTTCAATCTTATGTCGTGAGGGATGTGACCTATGTTAGGTCCATAAGATACCACAACTTTTAGTGTTCTATGATCCACCTCCGAATAATGAGTAGGTAGTTCGATCCTTTTGATTCTTATCTTCCTAGTAAACGGGGATCCGGAGCAATAGGTCGAATTACTATATAAAGAAGACTTTTCTACAAAAGGACTTATTGTTCGAGTAGGAAGATTTCGGTTTTTCTCCTTCCCTCTTTTCAATAAGAAGAAGTATTTGAAATGAAACAAATTCCTCTTCATTCTGTTGTGCTCAGCGAAGGAACTGCCTAAGCATACTTTTGCGGATCCAAACTTCTTTGTTCTTTCAAAGTCTTCTTCTTGCATATAAGAACGCAACTTTTGCAATTCCTTGGATTTGAGTAGTAAGCGGCATCCCCTCTGAGTTGTGAGTAAGCGGAACCATTCTTTTTTTGTTCTTCTCCAGATTCTGGCCGGTAGGAATTTGCCTCTTCTTTTTGCAACTGATATGGCCGATAGGAATTTGCCTATGATTTTTCCAACTGATATGTCGATATAGAAAGATCTCCTTATTTCAAAACCGCGGGTTCTCACGTCATTTTCTTTAAAAGATATTAGATCACCGTGGAAAACTTTCAAATGAGTAATGGTTACCAGTCCATTATTCAAACAAACCCTTCGATGACTTATCGGCTACCTTGCTTGAGGAAGAGTGTCACTAAAATGGAGACAAACCGGAATCACGTCCGATCTTGTTTCTTGATTGAGTAAAAAAGGGATATATGAAGTTCGTTCTCTTCCTCTGTGCATCTCCCTTATGGGTAAATCCCCATAATAAAGAGACAACTTTTGTGTAGTTTGTGATTTGATGTTACTGTTTCGATTTTCTCTTCGAGAAAGATTTCTTTTAATGGATCTCCTCTTGTTCCTCAATCTTCGGAGAATACGGCGTTGGATTAGAGAAAGTTCTCTGTTTCGAACATTTCCTGGAAGTAGACGACACGTTTTAAATCTTAATGCTGGCATGGCATATTTCGTTGAATCAGTCTTTTTCGCCACATCGCGTATAAAGGGAATCGAACCCAACTCTTCCACGAACCCCCCACGAATGGCCCTCCCTTAATTCAATGAACTATGAGAATTCATTTTTTCGTTTTTTTCTTTTCAGTTCTCATAAGTCC